AGCAAGAGCAGAAAAGCTTTTTCTCCTCTCGTCCACCCTGATCAAAGTGTTTATTGTGGCTTTGCAGAAGGAAGAATACATACAGAAGCTTCCTCACGCATCTGCATGGGCTTGCTCCAGGTCTTCCTCCTGGGCTTGAAGGTGAGAAGCAACAGGCTTGGAGTGACAGCACAGTGAGCGGGGTGTGTATTTGAAAGCACTGCTTCAGATGCAATCCATAAAAGAAAGAATAAAGGAAGTTATCTAAACTCACCTGAGGAGCAAGAGAAAAACGCATGAGTGCAAGTCCCGAGAAGAGCAGCTTTAAGGAGGAACAAGAGGGGAAAATCACATTTGCAAGCAAAATGTGCCAGGAGAAACTCAGCTTGTCCTTTCCCAGTCCCTGCAAAACCCAAGCCGATGGTGTCTTTCGAGAGCAGCTATAAAGCACAGCTAGGACTGAGGGCTTATTACTGCTGGCGTTTTGGTTTGGGCCACAGAGTACAGAACACACATAGCGTCACCCTGATCTTATCCGGCCCCATCTCCAAGCAGCAAACAAAAGGAAGAAGACGCAGAATACTTATCACAACACAGATTTAATTTCTTAGGCAGTTATAAAATTACAAAGAGCGATGGGCTAGCAGTGAGAGCCAGACACTTGGTGAGGTGGAATGTTAGACAGATTTTTCCACTTATTGACACAGATATCGAACAGAGTAAGTGAGCACTGCAGGATGCAGGGTTTTTTTTCCAGGTGAGGAAGCAAACGCAAGAGCAAATAGATCCAGATAGACAAAGGGTTGAGTCAACACCCCACAGAAACCCAGAGCTACAGGTTCAGGAACAGCTCCCCACTCCTGAGAAACGAGTCGGACACATGCAAAGGCAGCGCAGGGGGAGTCAGCGTACAGATCGCTGCAGCCGCATGGCCAAAGCCACAGCACTGAGACATCTGTAACGAGCACAACTGTAGCTATTTGCAAGCCAGAATAAAAACTTCTTGTCCGTTATTTTCAAAGCAGTGTAAGATGAGATTTGCCAATTTGAAGAGTGTTAAAATGAAGGCATGTTATGGTTAGAAAAATAGGAATTTGCTGAATTCCTTTGGTTGTGCAATTGGAATCTGGGAGGATTTATTTACAGTCAGAGCCATGCTTTCTTCATTGCAAGCCTTTCATGGTGCAGCAGATTCCAGAAAAACAAAGGCCTGCTCTGCATATGTGGAGAAGACACTCTGCCTTGCTCTCAGATGTTAACAGGTTACATCAAGGCGACTGTTAGCCAGGACAGCTGGAGCACAGAACAAAACTTTCCAAATCTCTGCAGTGATTAAACCCCACCAATACTTTGGACAAAGACTCCTGTCGCTCCGCAAACAGCAGCGGAGCATCTGCACACACAAGTGGTATACCGAATAGCTCAGCAACCTACAAAGAAAGAAATTCTACCATCTAACTGCATGTTGCTTTGGTGCTAATGCCATTATTAGAGCCAAGACAGCACGAGTATGGGATGTAACATAAAGAGTGCTCTGCTGATCGGCTTCTCAGGGCTCTCAGCTAACCTACTCACCGAGCTGGTGGCTCTTCAGTTCATTCCTCCCTTTTTACTATTACGCACAGGTCAGACGCACGTTTCCTCTGTGGAGACACCTGTCATTGCAGTAAGAGCCTTCTCAGGTATTTATTTGCATTCAGGCAGACTTGAAAAGCCACCACCTCTACCCCCACCCTCTGTAGAAAACAAGCCCAAGAAACCCGAAGCAGCAAGGTACATGCACACACCTCATCGCAGAGGGAGCGCTCCCGCAACTGTCTTGCTGAACAAGGCCTCAGAAAAAACAGCTTTTACTAACCTCTTTATGCTTTTTACTTCCTCCTCCTCCGCCAGGCCCAGCCTTTTAACTGCTAGATTTGTATCTATCACTTGTATTTTGGAAACAGTGACATAAAAAGAGGCCAGAGCAGATAAAAATCTTTCTGCCTCAGAACTAGAAATACAAAGTGGGGTAAACAGACAGATGTCGAGACAGCAGCGGAGTATGTACACTCGCTACCTTTTATGCTTTTTACTTCCTCCTCCTCCGCCAGGCCCAGCCTTTTAACTGCTAGATTTGTATCTATCACTTGTATTTTGGAAACAGTGACATAAAAAGAGGCCAGAGCAGATAAAAATCTTTCTGCCTCAGAACTAGAAATACAAAGTGGGGTAAACAGACAGATGTCGAGACAGCAGCGGAGTATGTACACTCGCTACCTATT